CCGCCCCGCAGACAAATCAGCGGCTGACGAATCGCGCTCTGATGCAAATACCTCGCCGGTGATTCAGCGCGACGGCCCGGGACGCGGGGAGGGGTCTCTCGAGGCCCCCTCCCCCTCCCCCGGACGCCCCCACGGCCCCGCGCTCGCTCCCGAGCGACGCAGGACTCGCCCTGGGGTGCTGGGGGCGAAGAGAGCGGACGGAAAATTTTGAGGTCGCGGCCCCTTTAAGTGATAATAAATAATAAAAGCAGGAGGGGGGGGGCGACGCGAGAGGCCCCGCCCCCGCTCTAGGGACGGTGGGCAAAGTGCGTGCCGGGGACGGAGCGTAGAGGGCGCGAAGGGCGCGGCCGGAGTGGGAGCGCCCGAGGTGGGAGGAGCTGAGCGCGAGCCTCGACCCGGGTGGGTAGCAGAACCTCGCGGGGTCTGAGTCCTCCGCTAACCGGTCCCGGAGGAGGGACCTTCCGGACCTGGAGTTTTCCCCCCGGCCCTTACGCTGCACCCGGCTGGGAGCCTCTGTTTGCTGCGCGGTAGAATGGGCGTGGTGAAGGATTAGAGACCAGGTTAAGGGTTGGAGGGACAGGGCACGAGGAAGGGCCCTTGGCTCCCAAGTGGGGACCGGCCAGGTGGGAAGGGGTTGGCCGCCTAGGGTGGGCGCCAGGCCCCGGGGAACCCCACCGCGAGCAGGCAGGCGAGGCAAGACCGCCCTCCCCACGTTGCCCTGCGTCGTCCCCTTGTTACCAGCCCGTGTCCACTGCGGGGTGCTCTTAAAATTGTCACCGCCTCATTACACAGCCGAGAACAACCCTGGGGAAGGGGTGGTGGGCGCAGGATCCAACAGAACCTGCTCCCTGCGGTGGCCTCTGGGGCCTTAGAGGGTGGGGGTGGCCAATCGGGAAAAGCAGGCTACCTGCACAGATGGGGGGGGCACCCCCTCCCCTACCCCAGGCGGATTCTATGCGGGGGGCGGGGCTTATAGCCCCCACTCTTTACCCTGGGAGACCACTTCGGTCTGCCCTTCCCCCAAGCCCTGTGACAGGCCTGAGGGGGGAAGTTGTCCCCTACCCCAGGCCGGAAATGTCTCTACCCACCCCCCTGTCTACACACACGCACACGTATGAGCACGCTTGCACACACACAAACACACACACAGAACTAGGGCCTGAGGTCCTAGGGTCCGGTTGGCCCACTGGGAGGTCAATACCTTTAGGCGATTAAACACCCACCTCAGCTGCTTACCTCCAGGGAAGAGCCCAATGTCTGCCCTGAGGTGGGGGCGTTTGCATGGCTCCCTGACCAGGTAAACTTGGAGGGTGAGGAGGGGAGAGCCGTGATCCTTAAAGGGCCAGGCCACTGAGACATAGCTGCCACCTCCAGAAAGCCTCCTCTGCCCCAAAGGTGAGCCCAGACAGACTAGAATCCACCCTCTTGCCCCACCTGGGCCACCTGCATTTGGAGGAGTGGAGGTGGGACACAAACTGTGCCTCAGTTTTCCCCTCTGTAAAATGGGTTCCAATTTGCTCCTTGCTCTTGGATGTGAGTTGAGGGTTAGTGAGACTGGAATCTGCTCCAAGGGATATGGGCAGGGATTGTGGAAGGGGACAGTCTGTTCACTCTGCCACCACCCCACAGGCTGGGGCCCAGGAGCAAGGTCTCCATGGACATCACAGCTGCCTTGGTGGGGGGTGGTGTGGGTGGTCCTATTTTTAGCCCAGTGAGGGAGCTGGGAATTTAAACCCAGACTGGTTGGCTCCAGACCGATCCTGGGATGCCTGGGGCTGATGGAGCAGTGCCCCCCACTCCTCGGCCCAGCTGTACTCTGGCTGGGTGTGTAGCTGCCCTCTCTGGTGGTAAGCCAGCCCAGCGAGCCTAGCCCCCCCCGCAACCCCAACCCCCAAGTCCAGTGTCCAGTGTCGGCCAGATTCACGGAGCAGCCACCTCAGCTTCACGACCACAGCCTGGGACCCTCCTCGAACACCCAGGCCACTGCCCACCTCCCACCCTGCTCACACCCCTCATGCCTGCCCACCTCAGGCCTTTGCACTGGCTGGCCCCACTACCTGAAGCCCCCACAGCCCCCATGGCCAGCCCCTTCAGATTCAAACTCTAGCATCTCACCTCCTCAGAAGAGACCCCTCCCCATGGTGTAAGCCCCAGGACTAAGCCTGGTACTTAGCAGGTGCTTAAAAGTTTTGGCTGAATGAATGAAATTATACCTGCTGTGATGGGGCATGGGGGTAGCTGACCCTTACCCGGGGTGACTCTGATTTCAGGGAAGAAGGAATTAATCCCTAACAAGACCCCTGGCCTCGCCCCCGGGCCCCATCATCTGTTCAGAGCGGCCCTTTGACGCCCAAAGGGCTTTATCTGACCCCTTTCCGGAAACCGATCACCAACACTTTCATCCTGGCTGGCCTTCTGGTCAGGAAGCTCACTCTGCCAAAACCCACTCAGCGCCCAGGGCTGGAGTGTGGGCTGGGAATCCTCCACTAGCAAGAATTCTAGCACCAGGCTGACCCTGCCACAGCCGCCCAGGCTGGGGTGGGAGTTGAGGGGGACAACCCTCCTGTCAAAGCCAACTAGAGGGTGCTGTGTGCCCGGCGGCATGAGCCCCAAACCCACGCAGAGCAAACCCAATACGGCTGTTGGGTCCACCCCCACCCAGGATGACCCTGTAGGGCAGAGGACAGCTGTCCCTGTGGATTTCTGAGACTGGCAATCCCCACAAGGCAGACAGCCTCCTCCTTCTCCCTCACACTGCCAACCCTTCATTTCGCAGGGGAGCTCAACGTCACGGAGCCCCTAGGGTTCCCTGCCCCCCCCACCCCAACGAGATGGTTTAACTTGTCTCAGAAGAACAGGAATGTAGCAATGACTGAACCCCAACCAAATCCACCAGGCCCTCTCGTCCACTAGCACATGCAGGTACCCGGAAGGGGGGGATCTCCACCTGTGAAGACTACAGTCTCATCTTTCTCCCTGGGAGCAGCCTGGGGGGGAGTTGAATCCTCAACCTTGCAGCTTACAAAGTGCTTGTGGAGGAATTCAGTTACCTTTCCATTCCATTTCCCCACCAGCTTTTTGAGCCCTTGCCTCCGCAGCCCAGCCCAGCGTGGATCATATCTGTCTCTGAACTGAACTACTCCTGGCAGCGGGTCCAGGTGGGCTTGTAGCCACCCTTGGGGACAGAGCAGCACTGTGTGCTCAGGGAGATCTGGGCTGTCATCTTCACAGCATGAGCCAGCCTCCTCTTTCTCCTCCAGAGCCTCCTCCCCTTTCTCCTATGGAGCCGCTGGTGGGTTTGAACTGCACCTAATCCAGTGCCCCTCCCGAGTCTACCGTTGTGTTATTGTGCCAGTGAGTCAGTTCAGGCCCATACAACTCATAGCACAACAGAACTAAATCCTGCCCTGTCCTTACAATTGTTCCTAAACCTGAGCCCATCCATGTAGCCACTCTGTAGACCCAGCCTCCTGAGGGTCTGCCTTTTTTGTTGCTGCCCCCCTAATTTACCAAGGATGCCGTCTTTCTCCAGGCACTGGCCTCTCCAGACAGTGTCCAAAGCATGTGAGATGAAGTCTTGCCATCCCTGCCTCTAAAGAGCCCTCTGGCCACACTTCTACCAAGACTTATTGGTCTGTCCTTTTAGCGGTCCATGGTACTTTCAATATTCTTCACCACCACATTCAAATGCATCCATTATTCTTAGGTCTTTCTTATTGAGTGTCCAACGTCCACATGCTATGAGGCAATGGAGAATACCGTGGCTTGGGTCAGGCCCTCAAGGTAATGTTAAAAAGCTCTTGTGCAGCAGATTTGCCTAATGCAACCTGTCTTTTGATCATGACTGCTGCTTCCAGGAGCTCTGATTTATTCTGGATCCTTGGCAAGTTGAACCTTTTCTACCTTTGCCACCATGCAGTATTTCCTCAGGGAGGAAGAGGGCCGCTAGGTGCCCGGGGCATGATAAAGCCATGTGGAAGTTTCCACTCGCAGGCAAGGTTCAGGTTTGAATGAAAATGCGTGGGAACCCTGGATGCCGGAGACTCCAGGAAGGAGGAAACTTCCGCGGGTGGCGCGCCCCACCTGCCGGACACCTGTGGGGCTGCTGCCGGGTGGGCGGAGTCGCGGCTCCCGGTAGAGGCCGCCAGGTGGCGCCGGTCTCCTGCAAACGAGAGGCGACGGTCCGCATCTCACCTGGGCCAGGAAGACCCACAAAGCCATGTTCCCCTCTGTAGCTTCTCTGGGTCCCAAGATGAAGTGGCAAGGAGCGGTGACATTTTAGCTTCAGCTAACGTGATGGGCTATGTTAGCATTGAGCTGCTAACTGTAAGGTCAGCAGTTCAAACCCACCAGCCACTCCTCTGGAGAAAGAGGAGGCTGTCTGCTCCTGTCAAGAGCCACAGCCCAGGAAACCCATGGGGTCGGTTATGCCCCATCTTTTACAGGGCCGGTGTGACTCGAATAGACGCCATGGAAGTGAGTTTTGGGTTTTGTTGATGCTGCTGAAAGCCTCACCTTTCTCCCACAGAGCAGCTGATGGTTTCAAACTGCTGGCCTTGAGGTTAGCAGCCCTGCTATGCCATAACCTGCCATGCATGCCACCAGGACTCCTGAGGTAAGCACCACTTGGGAGCACCACAGGTAGAGCAGCGGGCTGCACGTTGAGCTGCTAACTGCAAAGTCCGAGGTTCGAACCTACCAGCTGCCCCAGAGGAAAAAGGTGTGGCAGTCTGCTTCCGTGAAGATGCCCAGGGACCAGCTCTCCTCGGCCCTAGGGGGTCTTTGCTGTGAGTGGGCGGGACTCCAGGGCAGTGGGCTTGTCTGTGGGAACATTGCTGTTGGTTGTCATGGAGACAGTCACCTACTTGTGTGTGCAGAATCAGCTACTTCTCAGGGGTCCCACTCCTGGGTCTGAAGGGAAGTGAGCTGGGACGGATTCGAACTGTCAACCTTCTGGGCAGTGGGTGAGCACTGGCTATGCTCACACACCCAGGGCCTCTGGCTCAGACCAGACGAGAGTCTGCTAATCACGAGTGTCCCACGTGTGTCTCAGGCCTGGAGCTGGCTGGGCACCTGCATGTCCACTTGCTGTCCGCTTGCACTGGTTAGAAGTGGGGCGGCTCCCTGCAAGGTCAGTTGTTCGAAATCACCAGCCACTCCACACAGGACAAAGACAAGTTTCTGCTCCCAGAAAGAGTGGTGGTCTCAGAAACCCTTTGGGGGCGGTTCTAGCCTGCCCTACGGGGTCACCATGAGTTGGAACCCGCCCGAGGGCAGTGAGGGTTTGGTCTGGTCTTTTACTGCAGTTGTTGTGCAAGAGTGTCCCAAACTGGGCAGGTTATTTGCCCCCACCCGTCCTGCCTCCTCCCCCAGAGCCTGGATCTCAGGGTCCCTCCCCACTCAGACCCCACCCCACACCCCAGCCCTTCTCCCAGCGTGGCTGTCTGTTCTCTGCCTAGACCTGGAACAGCTGGAAGCACAGTGTACCCCTCACTAGACATGTTGCTTCCCAAACACCACCACCCCGGCCCCCACCACAATTTGCTGGCTTGTCTCCCTCGTATCTGAGCCCACACACCATAGACAGCGTGTGATAGGCCTGTGTGTATGATGTCCCCAAGGAGCAATAATGACAGGATTCATAAAGATACCGAGAATAAAAGGCCATAGCAGGGAAAACTTAATTAAAAAACAAAACAAAAAAACGCTGAGGTCCTTGACTGGTGCCAAAGCCGGCTTCCGATGGATGAGGGACCCCGTGGCAGGTCCCCCCCCTCCTTAGCGCCCTAAGGAGGGGCTCCTTTGGTGCCTGGGACAGGACCCAGCCTCTCCCACCTCCCCCACTCTGAGCTTCTGCAGCCACACGGAGCCGTTCTCCCTGTGTGTTATTAAGCCTGTGTGTACCAAGAAATCCTGCTGCTGCCACAGCGCCTCATCTCTCGTAATCGCCTGGAGCTTGGCTACACGGCTCCCAGCAATTTAGTCTACTCAGCCCATGGCGTGCTGCTCGGAGGCGGCGGGGACCCAGGCCTAGCAGACCCAGCCCAGAGTGACCTCAGCGTCTCGGTTGTGACTGCCTGATCCAGCTGCAGGGGCTTCCAAGAGGGCTTCCTGGAGGTGAGGGCGGCTGAGCTGAGAGAAGGTGCTCTCAGCACAAAAGCAGAACCTGAGATGCTGAGCAATGAAGGAAGCCCCCCACCCCCACCCCCGGGGCTGGAGTTGGGGGATCAGGGATGGGGAGGCAGGGTAGGATCTGCAGGCAGAGAGGGGAAAGGTCACTCTCCCTTCCACCCACTTCTGGGAGACACAGAACTGCCCCTGTGGGTTCCCGAGACTGTCAGTCTTCATGGGCGCACACAACCTCATCTTTCTCTCTCAGAGCAGCCGGTGGGTTCAAACTGCTGACCTTGAGGTTAGCAGCCCAACACACAAAACCACTAGGCCACCAGGGCACCTCTTGCTATCTCAATGCTGACTCAGAGCAACTAGAGGACAGGGCAGACCTGCCCCTGTGGGTGTGTGAAGCTGTAACTCTCGGGGAGTAGAAAGCTCTGTCTTTCATCAAACTGCTCACCTTGCGCAGCCCAGAGTGAAATGGAGGGCAGGTTACTGCCAAAGCCTGCTTCGGAGGTTGCTAACCCTTTAAGCTTGGAACCCAGCCGGCTCACCAAGGTGACTGATTGATTAGCTCAACGGCAGCGTGGTTTCTTTAAGGCCTAATAGCAGGCGTGAGTAGTGGGCTTGGCTGACCACCGCCTTCCCCACCGTCACCCCAGACCAAGGCTGAGAAGATGGGAGGCAACAAGGACATTAGACGGATGGTGGCCGGAGCTCCAGGTTGGGTGTGGTGAGGGCGGTCACTCTGTATGACAAGTAAAGCCAGAGACGCTGAACCGGGCGAGCACCTCATCTCCCGGGAGCATTTCCACCCGGGCGGCAATGGACTAGCCTGCACCCTGGCTCTGCCTCCAGGTCCCACACTGGCCTGTCATCTCAGCAGATGGGGGTGGGGGGGTGGGAAGAAGGGCATGTTTTAAGGTCTTACAGGTGGCTTAAATAAATGAATAAACCCACTGCCACGGAGCCGATTCCAGCTCACATCTACCCTGTGTTTCTGAGGCTCTAAAGCTTTACAGTGGCTGGTGGGTTTGAACCGCCCACTGCCCACCTCGCCCACAGCTTCACAGGGATAGACTCGTCACCTCCCTGCAGCAAGGGCAAGGCTGGTCCCAGGCTTGCTGCACCTCATGTGCAGCCCCCATCCATCCATCCATCCATCCACCCACCCACCCATCCATCCATCCATCCATCCATCCATCCATCCATCCATCCATCCATCACTGCATGTGCCTGTGTGTTGAGGTGTGTGTCTGCGTGCACGTGCGTGTGTTGCGTCGCTGTGATGCTAAGCGGTTCGGTGCCTGGCAAAGGAGGCATTGGAAACTCTGTGAGCCGCGTGGTCTGGATGGACGGAGACCTGGGGAGGGCGCGAGTGCGCCTGGTGCCGGGTCCACCAGAGTGAAGCCTGACTATGCGGGCAGCTGACAGGACAACCACAATGCCTCCTCGTGGAGGTGAGCGGCTCCCCCAGAGCAGCCGAGTCTGAGGCCTGGGGTGGGGGGTGGGGGGTGCGTGGAGTTGTCCCCACCTTCCTTAGGTCCTGCCCACTCCGCCCATTACCCCAGGAGGCTTGGGACGGTTCTAATGAGCAGTGATGTTTTGGAGCTCCGGCCTTGAGAGCCCCCCCAGGCCTTAAGAGCCCCCCCCACCTCCTGCCGTGCTTGGAATAATGGAATGAGTGACAATGGAGTTCCCCAGTCTGTCACACTGTGAGGACGCTCAGGTGCGTGTCCAACAGCTGAGAGCAGGGCTTCTCGGGCAGCCTAGTCCCGGGCAGTGGAGGGAGGGCAGCAAGTAATTATGGACTGAATTGTGTCCCTCTTCCAAAAATGTGTGTCAACTTGGCTGGGCCACCTTTCCGATAACATGTAATTATCCTCTATTCTGAAACTTGAGGTAATTACCCCATGTCCCAAGAATCTTAACCTTTGTGAGCGTGATGACGCACCATGCCATTTGCACGGCTGGGCTGTGTCGTCTTCAGTCAATCCATTCTGAGATAGGAAAGAGATTAGACATGTCAGCAGAGAGGAGGGACCGCAGTAGCACAGAGAAAGAAGAGCTAGCCGGGAGCATCTTTTGGATCTGGGCTCCCTGTGCTGAGAACCTCCTAAACCCAAGGAACGGTTGACACCAAAACACATTGAGGTCTCCGCAGGATGGGGTGCCAGGCCCACAGAAGTTGAAGGACGCCAAAGACCTCCTGGAGCCCACAGAGAAAGCAAGCTTTCTCTAGCAGTCCACACCTTGAATGTGGACTTCCAGCCGAGAGACAATGCTGTTGTTTGCTGAAGCTGCCCCCTTGTGGCATTTCTTTTAGAGCAGTCCTGGAGCTTTTGCGCAGACACCCAGGAAACAAGAACTGCCCTGCTGAGCCCTGCCAGGCTCTAGAACCATAAAAGATAATAAACAGATGTCCCATGGTTCTTGGCTTTAGGGTGGTTGGTTATGTAACCAACACTCCTGCTCCTCATGGCCAGTGTGGTCAACAGAAAATTTACCCGAAACCCTGATTTGCCCAGAACCCCCACCTCTAGCCCCCCACCCCCACCAAGACTGCAGACCCTCTCCAGATAGAAATAATAACTTGTCTCACTAACTTTTCCCATTATGAGTAAGGTATTTTCTCTGAAGCAAGACAGGCGCCTGACAGTCTCACATCAAACCACAGGCGGCAGGGCATGCGAACACTTCTTAGGATGTTTTCTGGAAAGATCCAGAAGGTGCGAGGGGAAATCATCTTCGGTATAAGAACATACGGAACTGGTCATTCACAGCAAACAGCACGAGTAAACATTCTGTTTAATGTGCCAAACTGGAGAAAAGGGCGAAACATTTCCACTACGACCATGTGTAACAACAATAAACCGATTAACAAGGGGAGGCCCTGTTCAGGCAGCCCGGACCTCTGGCAGTCGGCTCAGAGAGGGCCTGTATCTTGCCTCAGGACACACAGCCCACTGCTGCTCAGCCTTGGCGTCCTGATGGGGGCCGGGTGGGCCGCCAGGCTGTGCAGCTCGGCGTGGGGGGCGGCGAGGTCTGAGGGCCCGGCCCGGCAGGGGCGCCGGGAGCGGCGGTGGGCGCAGGGGCACACTCTGCGGAAGGCCTGTCGGAAGTGGGAGCCCAGGAAGGCGTAGAGCAGTGGGTTCAGTGCCGAGTTGCTGTAGGACATGCAGTGAGCCCAGATCTTGAGCGCGTAGGCGGCGTAGCTGCGCGGGTGCCAGGCACCCGCAGGGCCCAGCGCCTGCAGCACCAGGAAGAGTTGAATGGGGCCCCAGCAGGCTGCGAACAGCAGGACCACCGCGGCCACCAACCGGGATACCTTGGCTCGCACTGCGCCCGTGCGCTCTGCCAGCAGCTGCCCCTAGGGGTGAGGGGTTGGGGGTGGGAGGGAGAAGGAGGTTGAATGGGGGATTTCGCCTCCCCTAGGGCCCTCCCCGTGCCACACCCCTCCACCCACTGCGCCTCCTCCCCGCCGCCCCAGTCTGGCCACCCGGGCGCACCTGCAGGGCGCCGGCTGCAGGCGCAGGGCTCACGGCGGCCCGGCCCAGGTGGCGCAGCATGGCGCCGTAGCAGGCGCACGTGGCGAGCAGCGGCAGCACGTAGAGCGCCAGCAAGTTGTAGAGCGCGAAGGCGCGCTCCAGGGCGCGGCTGGGGAAGGCCTCGCTGCAGTAGGTGCGTGGCCCTGGCGAGAGGCGGTGCAGGGCCAGCACTGGTGCTGACACCGCTGCCGAGCCTGCGGGTAGCCAGGCTCAGCCTCCGCCCTCAGAGGCTTAGGCGCCGACACTGGGTGCCCGCTCCGGGCTGGTGCTCCGCGCGCGCGCGCGCGCAAGGGCGATCGCGGCTCATTTCCCAGTAGCGCAGTCGAGGCCAGGGGAAGGGCGGCTAGGGCCCACCCGGATATGACCCCCCGGCCGCCCGGGCCCCGCGCCGCACTCACCCACCCAGATGCTGAGACTGATTGCCAGCGCCAGGCGGGGCGTGCGCCGGTGCAGGGCGCGCAGCGGGAACACAGTCACGTACCAGCGGTCCACGCTCATGGCTGTCAGCGTGGCGCACGTGGCCTGCACCGAGACCTGCGCGGGGTGGGAGCCGGGCGTGTGGCGCGCTGTCTGACCAGGGCCCACCCCAGCCCGCGCCCCTCTCAGCCGGTTCCCGCAAGTCTGACTACAGGAGTACTAGAGAGACAGTCCCGGGAGGGGCACCCCGGCACCACAGGCTCAGGGAGCTGCAGGGGGGCTGGGGAGGCTAAGGGGTCTGAGGTTGGGCTGAGATCCTGAGACAGAAAGCGGAGGAAGGCAATCCTGGGGCCGCTGGACTCCACTGGCAGGAGCGGCCTGGCCGGCACAGGGGTCTTACTCCTCCTTGCGGCCCAGGCCCCGCCACGCCACGCCCTTGTATCATGGCTCCGCCCAGGCCCTACTCAGACCCCTGTCTTCTCTGCAGCCTCATCCAAGCCAGCTGCCATGGACCAGCCCCTAGCCTCCTGGCCACGCCCATACAAGTCAGGTCCCGCCCCAACCCTGCGTTCCCCGTAACCCCGCCCCTGTGACCTGTTCCCCCCCCCTTCCCGTCCTGGCCTGCCCCACCCAACCCTCACCCCCAAGTCCCATGTGGGCCCGCTCTACACTCGCCAGGTCCCAAACGACCAGACCTCCCGCAGTTCTTCACACCCCAGTCCCACAGCCCCTTCTCGTCATGGCCCCCCCTGTTGTCGTGGCCCCGCCCCTCTCGGTCCTACCTGCACCCACCCTGGCTTTGCCCAGGCCCCTGTGTTCTCCCAAGCCCAGCCCCAGGGACAGGCCTGCCCCCTTCCATCCTGGCCCCTCCTCCCGCATCCTCACCCCGCCCATCCCGGCCCCGCCCACTCCCGCAGGTCCCGCCCCACGAGGCCCAGCCTCGCCTGCGCACCTGCTGGATGTAGTTGACGAACTTGCACATGAAGTCGCCCAGCACCCAGGCGGGCAGCGGGTACAGCAGGGCCGTGAAGGGTACGCAGCAGAGCAGGAAGGTCAGGTCCGTGACGGCCAGGTTGGCTGCAGGCGAGCCGCATGAGGGCCCTGGGCCCCCCAAACCTCCCCACGCCCAGCAGCCCTGGTCCCCAACCCGCAGAACCTCCGTTTTCTTATCTGCAATATGTGGGCACAGTGGCAGGCCCACAGCCACCACACTGACTCCAGGCCACTGGCGGGCGTTGCAAACTGGGCCCCGCGGGCCGCGTCAGCCTCCCCCCGCCCCCCGGCGCCAGTATTGGCTGTCGAACCCGTCCCGGGCGGCGGGCACGAACTCTCCGGCCACATCCTGAGCCCCCAGGTAGCCAGCCCGGCCCGAGGGTCGGCCGCCCGAAGAAGTTGGAGACCTGACCCTCCCTCCGGAGGGCAGAGGGGGGCCCCCCGGGACGCGGGGCGCTCACCGATGTAGAAGTTGGTGACGGTCCGCATCTGCTTGTCGCGGCAGACGACATAGATGACCAGCGAGTTCCCAGCCAGGCCGAGCAGCATCAGCGCGGCGAAGAAGAGCGGCACCAGCCAGGCGTCCACCGTGCGCGGCGCCGGGGCCGGCCCGTCCGAA